GGCGACAGCAATGGATCATAGCATTACAGGGAAAACTTAGCTATAAAAGCTCACGCTTGCATTTGTTATCGGCATTTCTAACCTGAGGATATTTGAGAGCCAGCATCAGAAATGAGAAGACGGAGGTTACARAAGGGAGATGTACAATTATCCCCTTTTACTGCCAAGACGAGAGAGCAAAGACCTCCTCCAGACGACAGCTAGGAGGAAGCTAACACAGCAGCCAGTAAAGAGACGTTCTAAGGATCACGATTATGCTGCTTCTCCTGACTCTGCAGTTGTGGATTTAGTGCTGGAGGTAAACGATATTATCCGGGAGGAAATCCACCAGCTACAGGAACAGTTTGAGAGCCTGATGCTGAGGCAGCTGTTCGTCATTCACCGTTTTGTTGCTTCCAACAAGAACATTAGATCCTTCACAAGGTACGTGTGTGTGCGCGCGTTTGTGTTATACAGAGTATGAAATTATTTTAGGCAACTTTTTCATGAGTTTTATGCAAAAGTAAAAACTTGTTAGAGTGTATATTACAGCATAGACAAAACCCGAGCGCCCCCCCCCCCAGTACTGTGAGCAGTAGATCATTACGTTTTCCCAAAGTCGGGGAACACGATCCAAACCATAAAAGTGGCCCATCAATTTAAAGCCTAGACTCCGCTCTTTCCAACATTATAAGTGTCACAGCTCGACGTGAAAAATTCACCGAACAAGCAGCCAAGGAATAGCGAAAAAGGCTACATTCTGGAATCATAAACAAGAACGTATTTCCTTTGTTTTTATGGCTTTAATCCACTTTGGAGTGATATTTTTTTCCACTTGGCTGGACCTGTACGTCTCCTGTGTTATTGTTGGTACATGTAATATGCTAATTCTGTCGTTGTCGAGTGGAAAAATTTTTTGCTAACACAGTGTTGCCTGCGAATCGGAAGACCGGTGCGTGGCAAAAGAATGTGGAAGTGCCAGAACGGAAGTCTGTGGCATATAGGTTATTGCATTCAGATAGCTCAAAATCCAGGTTTGAGCTGCCCCAGTGAGCATAATCAACAGTAGAACTGAATAACCTCCTAAAGATTCAATTCATAGTTTGGGCAGATAAATCTTTTTCTGCATGATATATGTATTTTTTTAGATTTTATTTATACTCTTGTCTTTTTTTATTTCTCTGTTCAATCACCTGTTTTAATCATATGTGTATGAACAGTATTTCCATTAAACTGAAATAGTTTTTGATTTGTTTCTTCTCCCCTGTAATAATGATAATGATTATTTTTGATTTTGCATACGTTGATTGTGTCTTTTTTTTATTTTCTCTTCCATCAGTGAGTGGGAGAATCTGTAAGTGGCTTTGCGTTTTACTTTGTGGGTGCATGCATAGAAAGTATTTTCATAAGTGCATGTCTTTGAAAGATGTGGGTTGGCCTGTTAGTCTAATTTAGTTTCCGTAAGATGCACGATGAGCAACAACAACAACAAAAACATCTTTGCACGTATTGGTATCTGCATGCAAGATTGTCACATTCTTAGTTTTTTCAACTGTATTTTATGCAGACAATTGGAGATTAATAAGTATTTAAAAAGGTGACTTTTTTCACAGTTTAATGTATTGTTTTGCCTAATCAACACTCTTATTATTTCTGTTTTAATGCAGCAACCACTCCAATGTGCGGCGGATGCACACAGCTGTGAAGTTGAATGAAGTGGTGGTGAAGAAATCTAAAGATTCTGAGCTGGTCCTGCTCAACATGCCAGGTCCACCTAAGAACAAGAAAGGAGACGAGAACTGTATCCTTTTTTTTTTTTTTCAGTTTAATATAGCTCTTACAAAACTAAATGTCATTTTGTATGTTTATCAAATTTGAGTAATTTGGTGGAAACATGTCCATTGTAGCAC